GAAAGCGCGGCCAAACACCTGTGTTGCCGTCAACACAATGTATGCAATGATGCGAGATGCCATGGCTACACCCGTAGGCAAGAATGGGGCAGATGGGCAGGGTGAGGAGCAAGGGAGGGTGCGTGATGAGGTGTGAATGCGTCCTCGCTTGCTTGCTTGTTGCTTGCTTGCTTGCTTGGTGTGTTGTTGCTGGTCCACGCGGCGAGTGTGATTCGTGAAGATTAATGGGCATTGTTCATAATATTCGGCATTCGAGCAACAGGAGGCAACGAGGATCGAACCAGCAGCGCAAGAAGCAAAGCAACAAAGGCAAACACGCTGGGGGGATGAAGGGGTTGGTGGTGGTGAAGCGGCGTCATGAGGAGGACGCAGCAGAGGCCCTCCGTAAGTGCTCTGTGTGTGCGTGTACATGTGTGTGCGTTTGTGTGTGTGCATGTGTGTGTGTGCATGTGTGTGTGCATGTGTGTGTGCATGTGTGCGTATATGTGTGTGGCGCGTATTTGCGTACGGTGTGCGAAAACTCCGTCCCTCGCTCACATGTGTGTGCTTGTACACACCCTCTCATTTCACGTTGCAGGCGTGTTTGCCAGCAAACGAGGCAAACGCGGCGATGATGACGACGACAATGCAAAAGCAGAGGTTGGCGTTGACCATGCCGGAAATGTAAAAGGCGAACGCCAAGGACCCGCAGACAGGGAGCCTGTCGTCTTGAGACGAATTCACACAGCGTCACGACGAGTGCTCGACAAGGACCAGCACAACACTCTCCTTGTAAGCCACTTGGATTGTGTGTGTGTGTGTGTGCGCGTTTGGAAGACGCAAGCCCTGCCTTTTCCTTGCCTTGTTGAGCGTTCGCGTATCTCACAGTCTGTTTGGCCGTTGTTGTGGGCAACCAGTCTTCACTGCTCAAACAAGACCCAGGTGCCGTCAAGCAGCGCGGCGTCAAAGCAACAGGCAAACAGTCACACAAGGACAGGTGGGCATGCACGTCCCCCTGTGTACATGTGCGCGCGTGTGTGTTGCTGTTGCCATCTGAGCTGTGAGCGTGTGTGCTGTGCTTGCTGCTGTGTCTGCGCTTGTTTCCTTTCGCTCCCTCACCTGCTCGTGTGACCGCGTGTGTTCAGGATGAAGCGAAGTGCGCAGCAGGAGCGCCAGGCGCGGCGGTTTGCCTATGTCACCCGCAAACGCAGCGACTCAGAAGTGGTGTGTATACGTACGTGCATGCATGCATGTGTGTCGCATGCAACAACAACAACAACAACAAATCTCTTTCAATCGCCACACACACACACACACACACACACACACACACACACACACACACACACACACACACACACACACACACACACACACACGTTCACCTGCACTGCTGCGTGCGTGTGTGCGTGCTGGCAGATGATTGAATTGGAAACAGAGGGCGCGCGGCAGCTGCGGGACTCGGCACGCGCGCTGTCTTCGTTGCAGACGATGAGCATCACGTGCAACGGCGTGCCGATGGAGGTGCGATCGACCGCAGGAAGCAAGGCGACGAAGACACACGCGCACACTGGTGGTGATGATGGTGACGATGGTGATAGTGCAGACGGCGGTTTGCGCGGGAAACGAAGCAAAGGTGGCAATGATGATGACGGTGATGATGAGGATGATGATGAAGGGCAATATGTGTATGACTTTTACTACAATGAGGAGTTTGCCAAACTGGCCGACACCGGAACCGCACTGGACAGGTGTGTGTGCGTATGTGTGCGTGTGCATGTGTGTCTGTGGCTGTGTGCGCATGTGTGCGTGCGTATGTGTGCGTGTGCATGTGTGTCTGTGTGCGTGTGCATGTGTGTCTGTGTGCGTGTGTCTGTGTCTGTGTGTCTGTATCTGTGCGCGCCATAATTGTGCATTTGAGCATGCTTGCCTTCAAAGTCTGCGTTTCCTAATCTTTCTTCCCCACCAACACCCGCCCCTCCACTCCTCCCCCGTGCGTGCAGGCTTGAGTTTGAGGAGGATGTGCTGATGGACTACGACGCAGAGTCTGACGACGACAATCTTGGCCTCTACGACGATGACGACGACAGCAACGACGGTGCGTCGCGGGTTTGTTGTTGTAATAAAGACTTGGGAGGGAGGGGAGAGGTTTACAACGGAGGCGTGATGTTTGGTGATGGTGTCAACAAAGACTCCCCCTCCTGCACTCACAAGTGTGCACGACTGTTCATTTCCCCCACCAGCACGCACACACTCACATCCAAAACAAACACATACACAAACACACACACATGCATACGTACACAAACTCCACACACCAGAGGGTAACTGGCGAAACGACTACCCAGATGAGGAGGACATGTTTGATGAAGTGGATGACGAGCACATGCAGGACTGGGATGGAGGCAATGGCTTTGGTGGATATGGCGACGATGACACCTTTGATTCAGACGATGATGACAGCGGCGATAGGAGAAGGTACAGGTATGGCGGCGGTGACGGCGGTGGTTTCGAGTCGCTGCTGAGGATCAGTTCAAGGACAATGAGGCAAGGCGAGAGCAGTGATGACGACGACGACGACGACGACGACGATGACGATGATGGTACTGGTTTGTACCGTGGGTATCATGCAGATGCAGGCAATGCAAGCGACGCCATGGGCTGGATTGGTGGCGACTACTAGGCTGTTGGCGTGTGTGCATATGTGTTGTGTGACCGTAACTGACTTCCTACTTCATAGCTTTCTCCCACCGCCGCACACACAACTCGGCTGTCTTGTTTCTCTTCTCTTCTCTCCTCTTGCTCGCTTCGACCACATCCGATGATTGTTGATATTTTGCAATACATTTCCCTATCCAACTGAAACGACAGCAAAGCCAACATCCAAACACCAACACAGCACAACACCAACAACCAACTTCAACAACAGCTGGGCCACCGACCGGCGAACCGACCAGCCATGGGTACGCAATGGGATGTAGAGCAGAGAGAGCACACGCATGCCAGATTGGTTCCCCGCACCTTTCTATTTGGTCCTTTTCCTCTTCCTCGCGTGGTTTCCACTTGATACGACGTAACACTGGCAGCGCCATGCACCAACGCAAACACACACTCACACACACACTCACACACACACACACTCACACACACACACTCACACACACACACACACACACAACACACACACACACTCACTCACTCACACACACACACACACACAACACACACACACACACACACTCACTCACTCACTCACTCACTCACACACACTCTCACTTGCAGGGGATCAAGCACCTCCCCCAAGCGCTAGCGTGCTCTTTGGTGCACCACCCTCCAACGCAACTGCAGGTGAGTGTGTGTGTGTGTGTGGTGTGTGTTTGCGCAGACTGATGCTGCTGGTGTGCTTGCGTTCCAACCAACCACACACACCGCATGGCTTCCTGCTAGACAGTGACATTTGTGGCATATGCCAGCATTCATAAGCTCATTCTGTTCTCGCACACTCTTTCACATTCCTCCTCAAAAGGCTCTCAACCACCTGCACAGCAACAAACCCCTGCGCAGCAACCCCCTGAACAACAGCAACAGCCACCGACGGCCCACCTCGCTGCAGAGCTGTTTGCAAGCCCTGCCCCACCACAACCACAGCCAGCACAACCGCAGCCACAGCAACAGCAAGCGCAGCAGCCAGCGAACCATGCCCCAGCGCCCCAACCAGCAGGTAAACGGATTCCCACTCACCACCACGCGTGCATGAATTGAAGTCTTCTGGTTTCTCCTCATGGTTCGCATAGTCTCCTCACTCACCATCTGCTGCTGCCCTTTCTGACCGCTTCCCTCTGTAGCCGCATTGTTTGGTGAGCAGCCAACCACAGAACCCCCTGCACAGAGCGCAGCCGTCTTGTTCGGCGCACCGCCGGCAACAACGCCGCCACCAGCCACCGAGGCAGCGAAGCCAGAGCAAGACGAGGGCAGGGCCACCATAGCCGCCCCTACCGACGCCGGCACTCGCGCTGACACTGCGCATGTGCAGGATGAAGCAGTAACCGACACAGCGGCCTCATTTGCCATCGTTGTGGACGGCGACGTTACGGACGCGCGGGAGACGGAAGATGCACCCGCGCCTGACGAGGCACAGGCGGTGACTGGTGGTGAAGATGCAGGTGCCGAAGGTGCCGGAGGTTCTGGGGATGATGAAGGCGGCGAGGATGTGGAAGGTGATAAACGGGTGGAGGTTGGCGATGAAAAAGACACACAGCATGCTGCTGAGAAGGATGACGAAACGACGGCAGTCGATAACAATGACGAAGAACCACCAGCAGATGCGAGCACACCCGAAGAGAGCGTGAGCCACACGAAGAGCGAACAGCCGCCACAGACAACAGCCACAACAGCACAGGAAACAACCACGACACAAGACACGACGCCACCGCCAACAACGACAACGACAACAACAGCAGCAACAACAACCCCTCCTCCACCAGCACCAGCATCATCGTCCACAGCACCAGCACCAGCATCATCGTCCACAACACCAGCACCAGCATCATCGTCCACAACACCAGCACCAGCATCATCGTCCACAACACCAGCACCAGCATCATCGTCCACAGCACCAGCACCAGCAGCCGCCACGACCACGGCCGTCGCTGCGCCGGGTGCGACCACCGCTGCTGCAGACACGTCTGGGTTTGTGTCTGGCCCTGACCAGCAGGCGCTGCTGTTGGAGACGCAGCGCCTGTTCCAGCAGCAGATGGAGGAAATGCGACGCATGACAATGGTGGGTGGTTGCACGCGAGGGGGGGGGGGCAGGGGCAGGGGAGGGAGCGGCTTGGATTTGCGTTGCATGTGTCATGTATGTGTGTGCTTATCTAATTCGTGCGACTTCATATCTTCACCCTTCATGACCTCCTCACATCCTCATCTCCTTCCCCCCCCCCTCTCTCTCTCTCTCTCGCTCTCTCCTTTACACACTGAGCAGACGGCGATGGAGGCGATGGCCGCCAAGCAGGCCGAGGCTG